TGAATGAATGAATGAATGAATGAATGAATGAATGAATGAATGAGTTCATCAGCTGGGAGATGCATAGCAGCATGAAATAGTGGAAGAGCACAATTGCTTTCTATTCTCCATTTTCCAGAGCAACCTTTCTCAGCTTAGATATCTTTCAGACATGTGGGCCACATTGACTAGAGAATACTGAAGTCTGCTTATCTGGAGGATACCTAGATTGGGGAAGGATGATGCAGAGTAATTTTCTCCTTTTTCCTCATTTGAAATAAAAACATAGCTTGCACCTTCTTTTGAACCAGCAATTTATGGAATTAAATTGTATTCCAATTCTGATATACAGGGGATATATGCCTATAGCTGTGAATATTAAGAAAGAGATAAATTCTGGCTTGCTTTAAATGAAGAAATGTGGAATGGAATTCCTCTGACTGTGAAGTGCCAGTTTGTCTGAATCATCCTTCCATGTATGGTCACAAATGAAAATTCTGGAAGGTTACTTGCAGAATTTTCAGTATCAACATAAAATCAGAATTATGTACTGTTTTACAAGAAGACATTTCGCATGGCAGGCATTCATCTAAATTTATTGTACCAATTAAAAAAGAACAGAGGAAATAATTGATTTTCCTTTCCAGGCTAACTTTCCATGATGTGAGAACGCATAATGATAAACTGTTTTCACAAGAATACTCAGTTTATAAACTCAAGTTTGCAGTGTATGCACTGATGTTTCATGTCTAAAGTTTGACCCAAGACTAGATGATATCCTTACAAGTACTTCATCTTGTTCATATTCAACTGCTGATGAGACTAGCAATTCAAATTTGGCAAACCTCACTCTTGTTTGATCACTACTCTGACTAGTTTTTGCATTCCAACAAATACAGCAGCAACCCCAACATTTATGATATGATCAGAATGACACATGCTTGTATGTGATACTTGCTTGTGTGCAGGGCGTCATGGATAAATCCCACTTGCCAGGACAGCCAACAAGTGCAGTCTTGTTCATTCATGGCAAGGCTGTGTTGTTGCCTGGCATGGTGTATGTTTGGGCCCTGTGACATACTGGAAAAAGATACTAAGTTAGGATACTTGGTCAACTCACTTGAGCCAAAAGCAAGCTGTCATTGTTAACACAAAGACATCAACTCAGGAGAATAAGAATAGAAAGGAATCTCAAGGGGAATTGTTGAAAGAGGCAAGAGGGATATCACCTTCTGCTCCCAGCATCTGTCACTTAAAGCAGCCAGTTCATTCTCCCTGTGAGATAAAGTAGTCTTGCTTTTGTCTGGGCTGTAGCCACATTGTTCATAAGACCATTTCTCTGTTCTTTGAGCAATCTAGTGAACTGAAGGTTAACAGGGTGTTCTTTCTCATTACACATTTCTCTCTCTCCCCCCTTCCTTTCCACTTAAGCTACCTTTGTCATTAATTGCTTTGGGCTCTGAGCTTAAGTTCAGTTACTTGGAGGAGTGTTTCAGAAATTGGCAGAACTTCTATGACAGTGTTAAGTGCTAATTAAAGAAGGTTTAGAAAGTATAACTGGTTTAAAATGCAGCTACTAAAGTATTGGCCAGGCACATTTCAAGAAGTTTTGTGCTATTTATACTGGCTGTCTACTTTCTGGGCCCAATTTGAAATCTAACTCTAACCATAAAAACTTATTTAAGATCAGGTTGTCTAAAGGACTGTCTACATCCATGTGAATGTATCTAGTTGGGTATTAAGATTTGTTTTGAAGGCCCTCTCTTCTGGCTAGCCCTTGAAGGACAGGAGATTCACAGTAATAGCCCTCAGTCATGGAGATAATTTTCTCAGCATGAGATAATCATTTTTATATCCCATGAGGCCTTTTCTAGGTTGCGGTTATATATTTTTAGGACCAGACTGAATTCATCACCCAAAGGATGCCCGGGCTAAAGTGTGCTGTCAGCAGCAATAATTGGGCCAATGATAAAATAAGGTCTCTAATGCTAATCTCTGATCTGCTTGTCTAAAGATCTAGTCAAACATGTTTTGCAGGCTTCTCAGTTGATATGTAAACCAGGAGTGAAAAAAGGAAATGTATATAATCTATGAGCAATGATTTTTCTTTCATTCCAGGTGATTCTAGCCCTTAACCTCCATTTATCAGAGTATTTTTCTAAATAGATATCCACTTTGTAAAGTTAAGTGTTGAGAAAGAGATCTGGAAAGAATTAAACTATTTAAGAGATGTCCTATCAAAGGGATCAACATGTCTGTGGTCAAATCTAGGTCTATGAGCATTTCCCATGGGTGTTTGCAGATGTGCTGAAAGAACAGCACTTCTGCAGGCAGCTTGTTCCCGAGCAGGGAAAGAGGTCTTTAACCAACAGATAAATGCAACATACAGTATTCACATGCCAGTAGGGACTCAGCCCAATTGTAACAATTAAATAAGCTTCCTTAGAATGATGGTGCAGTTCTTGGGGTTTTTTCCCCCCCCTTTTCATTTGTAGCTTTTGAATAGAAGGGAAAAATCATGACATGAAGCGCTGAAAGGCAGGACGACTCTGTAGATGGACTTTATGGAGTAGTTCCGCTTATGAGAGGGCAAACAAGTGGGCTGAGTGTTTCTTTATTTACTGTATGCCTCACTGAGTTCGGCAAGATTTAATATTCTGTTTTAAATATGCATTTTGTAGCAGCCTCAGGTCCTTTTAATGTTATTAGAATTGGTTGGCTCTCGATTATAATTGGCCAGCCATTTTTGTTTATACCTGCTGTCTTCCATGTGCAAAACTAGCAACAGCTCTTGGTAAAGCAAGGATTCATAATTTGAGCTTTTTCTCTGACACTCTTAGTAATAGTTAGTGGCACATTAACTGCAGGATATCAATTTAACTTAATGTCAGTGCTGGCAGGGTATCAATAGTAATGAACTACTATGTATAAATGGCATTACTCTCCTGCCAGTCATAAGCATTTTTGGTGAAGGGATCATGCAGTAACTTACTACGGAAACATATTTATAATCCCTTTCATGCCAGTAGTGGCAGTCAGGAACCACTGTGTGTCAAAAAAAAAAACACAAAAAACCCTCCAGATCTAAAAATAATCCAGAGAATGCTACCAGTACAGGGTTTTCCCCCTTTCTCTCAGTCTTTAACGTATCTGATAATTTTTCCCTCCTTTTTAAAAAATGCTTGTTTCCTCTTTGTTTCTCTTAGAAGGGGTGTGTGTGTGTATGTGTGTGTGTTGGGGAAATGTTGTAGTGGGAACAGTAGAATAAATCATAGGGTTAATGTGCTCTTTGATTTAGAAATGCTTTATTTGCTACTTAGATTGTTTTAAAGATTGGCAGACAATCTGTGGCATAAGCCATTTTACTATCTTGATATCTGTCCATGTAGTTAAAGTTGCGATATATTCTGCTCGTGATGACTGCTCCGTTCATAGTTTTGCTGCTAAGTAACTCCTGTAACGAGTGAATGATTTGGAAGCTTTGGGGAGTTGGTTGTGCTTTACTTGCTGTAAAAGTATGACTGGATTCTACAGCATAGGATACATACAGTAGTTGCTATTTAACTGATGTGCTTTATTGCTAACTTATTTCTTGGATGGTTTCATTAGCCTCCAATTTATCCTGTGTGGACCCAGATCATTTGTATGATCATACCATTTGGATCCGACAAGAGTCTGTTAATCATTTGTTCTGCCCTTTGGATAATCAGAGCCTCCGGCTACTTCAGTCTGCCTCTGACTTCAGTGTCCAGTGGAGCAAAGATTGCCACCAGCTTAACCTCTCCTCCTCAGGCCACCTGCGTAGCACGCTGCAGAATACAACTGCATACCTCACCTTTGAGCACCCAAGGGCGAACGATGCAGGCAACTACACCTGTACCCTCTACTTGAATAATCAAAGAAATATCTCCTTTACTATTCAGCTGGACATGGCAGGTGAGTAAAAGAAATGAGAGAAGTGACCACAGACATAGGTTTTGGGGAGCATGTTGCCTAACCCTAGGAGAAGCAGTTCTACTAGCGTTTTGAGAGAGATCAGTTTTCTATCTAATTTTAGCTTTTACAAGATCTCACAGCTGATCTATACCTAAACCAAAAAACAGGTTTGGCTTGGCTTGGCTTTTCTCTCCTTCCTTCCCTCCCTCCCTCCCTCAGAGTAAGGGCATTGAATATATCTTCATGATCATCTGAGTTGTACTTTCAGCCCTTTTGATCTATCTGTGTTAGTCTGTGACTGATTTAGTAAGGTAAAATGTGTGAGATCCTGTCACTGCATAATGAGTTTTTCCTATCTGATCCCGTTTCTTTGGCTCTGTTTGCAGCAGTGAGTAAACTTGCAGTATGTTATTGCACTACCTCAATTTCCTTATGGAAATTTACTTAATGAGGAAGAGAAGGTGCAACATGTCTGCTTTTGGCAACAGCATTCTCTTGGCCATAATATTTATTTCTAGCCTGTTTTGTGTGTTGAAGTAGGAAATGTATAGAAATTGACATCTGTTTGTGAAAAGACACAAATTTGTAGAGTTTCTTTAAGCCCTTCACTGTTTTGATATTGTACCTGGGGTAGCATAAATAATTGTAAAAACAGATTGCAAACTAATTTGTGCAATTAAAACAAATGACTGAAGAATACTCTGTTGTTATGAGGCACCACTGAAAAGAGAAAAGGTCTTTAAATTGCATTGTAATAATGAGTGATGGAACTAGAATTGTGAGAAGAGATTGGGGAAGCTATAAAAAGTGCTAAGATGAGCATTCCTATTCTGCTTTTGCTACATGTGATATTATTTATAGTTTCTGTGCATACTATTGTACTTTTTCATATATTATTTCTGATCACTTCAGCATTTCTGACTAATAATGCAGAAATAGCTGTGTGGTTGAGCTCTAAATTGAAGTGGGAAAAAACCACTATTTTATTTACTGTTGGTTAAAAGAACATTTGGAAGAGATAAATGTTCCTTTCTTTCCATTCTGTATTATATGACAAATTTTAGAATAAAATGCCACTGTGAAGCACTTCACTTTTCTAAAAAATAAAAATAGCCAAACAAGAATCTTAAAGTTGTCCTGACTTGGCTAGGAATTGGTTGCTAGCATCAAAAGTAGTATTTCTCTGTAATAAAAATATGTGTTATTTTTCTAAGGATTATAGATGGGTTTATGTCTCTGAAGGGACGGGCCCTCTCACTTCTTCATATGCATCCACAGTTTGAGTGTCTGCACTTCTCACAGATTTCTTCTCTCTGTACTATCTAATCTGCAGAATAACATGGATTGACTTAATTTCTGGGCAAATATGCAAATACCTATTTTTACAAAATTATTTCATTTTTTAAAAAGTAAAGAAATAAACGAGGCTTGATTTCTAGCTTTGAGAAAAGAAGGGCTATAAAGGAAAGAGAAATTATAAATTATAGCAAGGCTGGCTACGTCGTATGACACTACTGTAACTAGTTCTACATCATTATCCCCTGGATCCCCTTACATACCTTTAGATGCTGAATTTCAGTTATTTTCCATAGTGAGGTTATTTTCCATAGTGAGGGTTTTTCCCCCCCCTCAAGGATTCTGAAATTATGTAAGGATAAATCCTCCTTTGGGAGCCAGTTTGGTATAGTGGTTACAGCACCAGGCTAGAAACTGGGAGACCGTGAGTTCTTAGGCACAAAACCAACTGGGTGACTTTGGGCCAGTCACTCTCTCAGCCCTAGGAAGGAGGCAATGGCAAACCACTTCTGAAATCTTGCCAAGAAAACTGCAGGAACTTCTCCAGGCAGTTGCCAGGAGTCAACCCTGACTCAAAGGTGTCAGGTTCAGCTCAAGAACCGCAACGAGACAGTCCAGGAACAGCTCAGTTACTTTATTAGCTTACACCTACTAGACAGAATCTCGCAAAACTACCCCAATGACAGCAACTATAACCTTGAATCCCTTAGGGAGGGGCCAGTCTCCTTCTCTTCACTT